AAACCTGCCATGTACGTGTACTAAACCTGCCATGTACGTGTACTAATATTGCCAAGTACTAAACCATGGCACTTATAACAAGAGCAATCTAATGGAACCATTGTTCGAGGCGGTCCGCGAGGAGCGCGCGAGGACCTATCACAACCTGCTCATCGACCCAGAAGAACTTGCCAAGTGAGTGTACTAAACCTGCCTTGTTCGTGTACTAAACCTGCCATGTACGTGTACTAAACCTGCCATGTACGTGTACTAAACCTGCCATATACGTGTACTAATATTGCCAAGTACTAAACCATGGCACTTATAACAAGAGCAATCTGATGGAATCATTGTTCGAGGCGGTCCGCGAGGAGCGCGCGAGGACCTATCACAACCTGCTCATCGACCCAGAGGAACTTGCCAAGTGAGTGTACTAAACCTAACACGAGCAGTGTTTTAAAATTTGGTATTCAATGTGCTAAACCTGCCATTGGGATTTTAATGCACACACAGTGCTAAATTATTCTCATAATAGTAGTTTATGCAACTGTTTGTTGGCATAAGGCATAAAATTACATGCTGTGTAGATTAAATTAGAATGTGACTTTCATAAAAAGAATCTTGTAATCATCATCATCTGCCTGCCCTTATCCCAATTTATTTGGGGTCGGCGCAACATGTCTTTTTCTTCCATTCATCTCTATCAGCAGTCTATAACAAATCCACTGCAAATATTTTAGGGGCAGATCAAACAAAATATAAGCATGTACTAGGCAAATTTTGATTCACAAAACGAAAAAAGTGCATCCTGTTTGTCCTAGAAACACACCACTAAAGCTACTTCGACAAATTTAATTTACGCACCAAAAAAAAGTGCTGTGATTGGTTGGTTGTGTCTACGTGGCGGAACGTCAGTCGGGTCAGTCAAAGGATGTTCACGTAATTAATTAAAAAGTTTGTTCGAAAATGAAAAAAAAAATCTAGCGTGTAGATTGTTTTCGAATGCTTTTGAAGTTTTTCTTATACATATTTACCTACGCATGCCCTTATAATATTTGCAGTGAATTTAATAGGACCTAATATATCAGCAATGTGGGCCCCGCCATCGCTACACATAAACAAATTGACTGTCTAAAAGTGAGATAATTAAAAATATGCTTATTTTTACAGGGACATTCGGTTCAATATTCTAGTTAAGCCGAACGTATCTCCGCGCGACAAGGCGATGCTAGTTCGCAGCATCACTCTCGACGAGCTCAAGGAGTTCAATGAGCGACTGTTCACCAAACTATACATGCAGGTAAATACAGGATGTAAAAAAAACAACTGCAAATATTTTAAGGGGTGAATCAGCCCATGAAACTGAACAACTTTCCCCAAGGAACATAGGTCGAAATATGAAAAAAAATATTTGGCCTCCCATACAAATTGACTCGGCACATTTTGTATTTGGCTGGTACATTTTGTATGGGAGGTCCAAAATTTGTTTTCATATTTCGACCTATGTTCCTTGGGGAAAGTTGTTCAGTTTCATGGGCTGGTTCACCCCTTAAAATGTTTGCAGTTGATTTTTTTACACCTTATATGTATAGAAACGGCTAAGAGCGTGTCAGACACGCCCACAAATAGGGTTTCGTAGTCAACGTTTATAGGTATATCAGATTTTTCAGCGTTACAAAGTTAATTTTGTTGCTGGTTTGTTTGCAGCTGTATGGTTACCAACCTCAAATAGAAAATCTTTTATTCTTCTGAAATCTTTCATGGTACAGTATCCGTTATAGTAAACCATTGTGGGTATTTTCAAAATTTAAATTTTGTTTTCACTTGTTAATTATTTTCAGACGCTGATTCAAGGCAACATCCAGTGGGACGAAGCGATCCAAATTGCTGAGAACGTGTACAGTAACATCGGCTGGGACAGCTTCCAACCCGGCGAATATCCAGAGGTAAGATGAAGTATTTCATATTTTGTGTACCGGGAGTAACAAAAATATAACAAGCCGAAGGGAGGTCAAGGTACTCATAAAACTGAACAACTTTCCCCATGGAACATATGTCGAAATAAAAAAGAAACCCGAACAAATTCCCCGATCAGCTGATTGATCTACTATGGCAGTACCAAATTTTTTTATTCATATTTCTACCCATGTTCCATGGGGAAAGTTGTTCAGTTTCATGAGTTGTTTGACCTCATTTCGTCTTGTTATATCATTTTTGTTACTCCCGGTATAAATCAAATTCAGTGCATAGTAGATTTTATAACAAGGGAATAAAGTAATATATTTAAGGCGCGGGCGTTATTTTGAACCACGAGCGGAACGAGGGATTCTGGAGTAAAATCCCTCGTTAAGGTAGAACGCCATCTATCGGAATATATTCTTAAAAACGCTCATTGGTATTGAGGGTATTGAACTCTGTTTTTATTTATTTGCCAGTTACAAGTGCGCCAGCTGCCTTTAGGAGTGAACAAGATACGCGTGATGAACTTCAACCCACAATCCACCAACAGCATCATCACCAACTACTACCAGGCCGAGGCTTATTCACCAGACGCTAATGCTGTCTTAGAAATGTTGAATGTGAGTGTCCAAAACTTCTCGCCACATCTTTGTATAAGCCGTTCGACAAAAGAAGGGGAGTATAAATGGCGGACCTCCTATTTGTCTCTCGCTTGCACAATATTGCTGTCTAAAGTCGCACACGTCGTCTGTACGATCAGCATAATTTAAATCTCAACGTCGATGCACAAAATTATGTACAAATTTAACTTGAATTTACAGCGTTTCGCATATAACAGTTGAGTGTAAACACTGTAAACGGGGTTTGGTTGATATTTTGGATCCATTTCATGTCGGATCTAATGTTATAAAAGGAAAAAAAAACGGCCAAGAGCGTGTCAGACACGCCTACAAATAGGGTTTCGTAGTCAATGTTTAAATATCAGGTTTTTCAGCATTACAAACTTAATTTTGTTGCTGGTTTGTTAGCAGCAGTATGATGACCAACCGCAAATAGAAAAACTCATTTTTTTCTGAAACCTTTAAGGGTACAATATCCGTTATAGTTTTTATTGTAACTTCAGATTGTAAGCTATATTCCATATTTATTTCAAATTTTTAGCGTTTATACTTTAGAAGTTACAGCTGGAACAAATTATGGGTCAAAAACGCCCTTTTTAAAATCAAATATCTCGTGACAGAAACATTTTAGTGACTTTGTTTCAAAGAAACCTCACCTTAGTTTTAAAAGACCTATTCAACGATACCCTACTCAATATTACAGAAGAAAAAAATTTTTTTTGCCCCCCTTTCACTTGTATGGGAGAGGGTCCAAAAACATTTAATATATTTTTTTTCTTAACATTTCTATATTTGGGTCAACATGATCTATCTTCTCACCAAATTTCATGTCGATAGCTCTAAAACTGACGAAGATATGAGGGCGCGGCATACAGACAGACAGACAGACAGACAGACAGACTTGACGAAACTATAAGGGTTTCTAGTAGACTACGAAACCCTAAAAACTAAAAAGAAAACACGGGCGTATTTAAACTAAACTGACTGTAGCAGCGCTGTCAGCTGTCGAGCGCCGCCATTTAGAGGTATATTCCCCTTCTTTTGTGGAACGGCTTATAAAACTTTAGCATTTCAGATAAAGAATATCAGATAAAATCTGTTCACAGATCACTAATATTCGATTTACTTCGAACTGTTTGATGATTTTATATTTAAATAGATAGGCATAAGAATAAATAATTTACTCTTATGAGATAGGATAAATGATTCTTTGTGTAACATACAGGGTGTTAATTTAAATGCGTGCCATAGCTTCAGGGTAGGTTTAGTATCGGTAAGGATGCCGTAAAAAATATTGAAAACATCCCAGTCACATTTTTTTTAATCTTGGCTGATATTTCATTCAAATGCCTGAATCTCAGCCGAAATTCGTTCAATCTCAAAGATGTTTATACGAAAGTACTTGTATGGGCACTCTCTAAACAACAACAGTGTCAAAAATTGATTAAAAAAAACCCGGTTTTGACTAAACTCGAAAATTTTTTTTTACTGGGATTTTTATTTTTTACGGTATCCTTAATCGGTACTTAACCTACCCTGAAGCTATGGCACGCATTTAAATTAACACGCTGTATAATAATAATAATAAAGTAGAAAATATTGCAATTTCTAACTTATTTATAATCTCAACAGATGTTAATGCAAGGGCCAATCTTCGACGTTCTCCGCACGCAAGAACAACTTGGTTATTCGGTATACAATGTGATGCGGTACACTTACAGAGTGCTGGGCATGTCAATATTAGTCAACACGCAAGTTGACAAGTTTAGGTAATTATTCAGTACTAGCTGCCCGTCAGCGGTTTCACCCGCTGCAACCTATTATTCCGCGGGAAAAAAGCATTACTCGCCAAGAGATGTCGCTGTTAGTTTTCGGCGAAAACGTTTAAAACGCGAATCGGCTCAGTCACGCCACCTTTGCAAAAATATTGGAATTTGCGTGATCCCGTAGGAATAAGAAATTTTCCCGTGGTAAAAAGTAGCCTATGTGTTATTCTAGATACTCTTCCATATATTTGTGCAAAATTTCATGTCAATCTAATCAGCCGTTTTAGCGTGATGTCGTAACAAACACACACACAAACATCCGCCTTTATAATATTAAGTAGGATACAACATTATGTCAATAGAAGTGTTTGTGGGGTGGGTCAAATATTTGTTGGTCAAACCAGATGGACGACAGCTGTTGATATTATATTTTTTCAGCAGACAAAATAACATCATAACATAACAAAAGAATTTCACGTCAATTTCTTGTGTTGTGGCTTCTGATTTTTAGTTGATTGTTTGAGGTAACCTCATGCAGGTTTTTGGTCAAATGTTTACCGTGGTTACTTGTGCTTTTTGTACTATTTTCAATCAATAAAATACATAAAATGGCCTAGCCTAGGTTGAAAACAAAAACAAGTTCAATCAATCAGCTTTTTTTTTCAGCAAAATTTTCCACCGCAGGCAGGATTTCAACCTGCGACCTTCGTCGGCATCTGTACTGCCGAGGCCACTACCAACTGGGCTACCGCGGTTCTAATCTAGCCTGCGAATTTAGCAAGTATATCTTGTCCACTGACGCATAGATGGGTCGCAGGTTCAAATCCTGCCTGCGGTAGAAAAGTTTTGAAGTTTTCCAAAAATTGTATACCTAACACGAGAAGTGTTTTAAAATTTGGTATTTAAATCAATCAGCTGTTTTTGGAAAACTTGCAAAATTTTCACCGCAGGCAGGATTTGAACCTGCGACCTTCGGCATCAGTACTGCCGACTCGATTAGAACCGCGGTAGCCCAGTTGGTTAGGGCGTCGGCAGTACTGATGCCGAAGGTCGCAGGTTCAAATCCTGCCTGCGGTAGAAAATTTTGGAAGTTTTCCAAAAATCATAAATCCGATGGAGGCGGTGTATTAATCGCTATTAAAAATAGTTACAATGTTGTTCGTCAAACAGGATGGGATAGTACATGTGAGGATATCTGGATTAGCATTTTGCTAAGCCATAACTATGGGCCACGTATTAATTTGTGTGTTTGTTACCTACCTGATTACCTTAAGAAAAATGAACTTGGTGTATTCTATGAGAATTTGCAAAGAATTGTTTTATCGGATAACAATACTGACGCGGTGACTATTGTAGTAGGTGATTTTAATATTCCCTACCTGCAATGGACACCTGCAGATAATAATTTGAATCCCACTTTTACTGCAACACCCGATTTTAGGTCTAATTACTTGTTTGATACTATGGGACTCTGTAATCTTTCGCAATTTAGCAGCATTGTTAACAAAAATAATAGAACCTTAGATCTAGTTTTATCTTCTAATAATAGTATTATTGTCAAAGAGGAAACTCCTTTATTGCGCTTGGACAACCATCATCCTGCACTATTAATAACATTTAATTTGTTACTCATTCCTAGGAATATGAAGCCCAAAAAACAAAAAATATTAAATTTCGATAAATGTGACTACATGAGTTTAAAAGCAGAACTTGGCGCAATAAATTGGAGTTTTCTAAAATCCTTCTCAGATGTAGATTTAGCTTTGGAAAGTTTTTATACTATACTTAATGGGGTAATCAAACGACACACACCTTTGCGTGGCACCAAGTCAAATGATATGCCATCTTGGTACTCTCCTGCTTTAAAAAAATGCCTTGCCGAAAAAAATAAATATCATAGACTCTATAAAATTTATGAAAATCCCCGTGACTATGACACATTTTCACTCCTTCGAAAACGGTGTAAAGCACTTATGAGATCCTGCTACGATTCATTTGTTGAATCAATCGAAAACGCACTTACCGATGATGTAAAACCATTTTTTAGATTTGTTAGCAGTAAGAAAAGTAACCCTAATAGTATACCGCAAAAAAATGTATTTTGGTAACCAAACTGCTTCTGACAGTAACAGTATTTGTGAACTTTTCTCTGGTTATTTTGACTCTGTATATGATAAATCGACATACACTTTTTCTGAGTCAGTTGTGCCCCATACTTTCTCTAATAGCACTTTATCTAAAATAGACATTACAGCATCGGAAGTGCGAAAAACTCTAAGAAGATTAGATGCAAAAAAAGGGCCAGGTCCCGATGGTATTCCTGCTAAGTTTTTAAAAGAATGTGCAGCAGAGCTATGTTCGCCATTATCACTTATTTTTGACCTATCATTGCGTTCTGGTAAATTCCCTGCGATTTGGAAAACTGCACATATAGTACTATGGGAAGCGCAGCTGGTGGAGGTGATCGCGGGAACTGCCCTAATAAGTAAAACTGCTATGTGAAACTTAGACAATCTTATATTGTAAGCAAAAACATTAGCTTGAATCAAAAGTTACATCTAGAGTGTGTCACGAAAGACAGATAGACAGACAGGCTGCATTCTCTATATAACTCACATTCAAACATTGACTGACTCCCACAAGCGTCCAAAGAGGCTGGGCGCTACATTCCCCCCCCTAATAGAAGAATGCGGCATGTCTGCTAACAATAAGTGCTCAAACAAAAGTCTAGAAAGGCGAAAGCACGAAAATAAAACTTGTCTTCACTGGAACCCTACACTGAAAATACAAATGGCCTAACTCCCCTAAAGTCGCGCCTCATAATCCCATATTTATACAATGCAACCCCAAAACTATCGCTCCTACCTAAGTGCCAAGTGTATGGGATCGGCGCTCAACCCTGCGCCCTGCAGCAACCCTGACATCCATCAGTTCTACCTATTGGCACTACTCTAATAAACAGCATCTGAAAAATACAAAGGTATAAGATCTGCCAAAACAATTCACTCCACTAAACTACAACTGAAAAAAGGTACAAGTAGGTATAAGTCAAGGATAGGAACAACAAAAATCAAAACTTCTCAAATTAAAATAGTTATCGTAGGCGCGACTATCTTCAACTCGCGAAGACACTGCACACCCCCCATTAAAATAAGAACTCAACCACAATATCTTTGAACTAAAATATTAAGCACGCAGTTATCCTCTAATTATTAATAAGTAATCATAAAATGTAAATAATTATCGAATATTTAACTGAAATTTCATCGTATTGTATTACAAGTTAAGTTATTTCAAACGCAAACTGTATATATTTGTAACTTCACGCCACTGAGGCAAGTTTGTAACTGAACCTTCACCCTCATAAAAATAATAAATATGTGAAAGACATAGTCTTCCACATAACGTTCCTGGCCTCAAGTCCACAACCTCATAAGATCTATGAGATTCACAAATTATCAGCCTAAATGCAATAAAATTCTCAATTCCACTCGGAAATAGAGAGACTCCACTTTATAATGATTGTTTGAATGAAAAACCCAAACTGCTATTGACATACTAATCTGAAGACAAATGATAAAATCACCCGCTCGACTTTCTATCTTGAAACGGTCTATAAATTAACGTTAGTGCAATTATTGAAATTAACAAACCTCAATAATCACCGTTAATAGACCGACGTTGTTGTCTAATAATAATACATAAATAAATAATGATCGTCTCGTGGCCGTGCCCCACGTTGTGTAAGTAAACCCAGATACTTTCGAGTCACTTACCTTGCCATCAGAAAGAATCTACACTTCCTTCAACTACTTCATCTTTAACTATCTATCGCATGAAAGAAATTATCGAGCCACTAATTTCTTTAAATGAAGAATAAATATTACAATATATTATGCACCCCAAGGTCTATCCCTAAAACACATAATATACCTTAAATAAAATAAAATGTTGTTCATGGTGAGATTTGAACAACTACTCTATTCTGGTTATATCCACACATGGATATAGGAATGCATCTCCTCCATTTTATTAATACAGCTTTTGTTCTTCTTCAAAAGACTTACCATTCAGATAGAAGAATATTAAGGTTACCGGGATCCTCTTTAGAGAAGACCCATAAACCATCTTCTATCTTAAATAAAAATAAAATGGGGTGGAGAAGGTAGGGAGGCTCCCGACCCGCGTCTCTACGATAATCCTCTTCCAGTACAGCACCTCCTGGCGCCATACCTGCAGGACCCCTCCATTCCACCAGAAATGCCATCGGTTGCTTACAGACCACTGCAAGCTACGAACGTATCCGTTCATGAGCAGTTGGATGCTAGCCAAACAGAATACTTACGTCGGATGAGCGACATCAGTGCAATGATATCCCTTTTTAGACGGTAAAGTCCCTCAGAGTCTTCAAAGCCTGACAAGTAAACCTGTTCATTAGAATTGTGTGTGTGTAGGATGTTATCCATAACTTCACAGTGTCCGTTAGCCAAATACCTTGGTTGTCACACAGACAGACCGGTTTCCCAGCAGTATTCTTCAGAGTCAAACAGTTACTATCTGTCTCTAGGACAGGACCAGTAACCCGGTCGTAATGCGTTCAAATGATTGCAGTTTAACCTTAGTTAAACTTAACAAATGTACTCGTTTATGCCGTGGACCGGCTACAAATGTTTAATGTCTTTTATAATTATAACCCTAAAGGGTTCAGACCTGCAATCTAGGTCGTCTTGCGTTCGATATCGTCAACAGCCAAGCTAGTTGTGCGATGCAGTTCTCAGACCGCGATAAAGTCAATTCAAATATCAAATACGGCAGTCACACAGACAGACCAATAAACTGACTATTCAACTAGATCTTACTGACATACTCCAAACAATCATGTTGTATGCTGGAGGGATATTTCTACCACTTTCGAGTAACGAATCCCACTTCTTTCAGTGATTTATTAGGTACCTGCGAGGGATATATTAAGCTTTCGCCCCTCTCTTCTGAACCTTCACGTCTAGAAACGCACCTTCACTCGTCCATCAGTTATCCTGAATAGAGTTTATCGGCAGTATTTGATTTGGGGTGAGTCACGTCCCCCTTTACTATGTTAATATCATAAAATGATATCAACTTGAATTGCTTTATTGTTTATACTCCTTAGAGTGACCGAAAACCGGTCGTTCTGCGTTCGAGTGTACATATTTCTATGTACCAAGTAGAGAAGACTAGCGCTGGTCTAAAGACCGCAAAGCACTCCTCACTTAACCATCTCAGATGTTGATATTCCTTCTATCTGTTTGTAGTCGGCTGAGTCGATAACGACCTCTCTAAGCACTTTGGGGTATCCGTCTAGGCGCGATACTAGCTTAGAGACTTTTCATATTTTAGGATAACGACGAAATACGCAATCCAACATTGTTCCTTAAGTTACTGTCCTGTCCTGTCTGTAGACGTAGCTTGCCAGCCACAATGTCTCTTCACTCATGTTATAATCTGGTCATGTAACCGTACGCAGCCCCGTTTCCCGATTGAAGGTACTCCTGGTGACCTAGGAACTACCCAGATTATAGGAGCAAAATAGTACAGCCATTTCATAACTATAACTCGCGATCTAATGCGTAGCGTGCAACTACACAAACCATTAAGCGCTTAACGTTTCTGGAACTCGTGGAGCATAAGTCATCAGACTCTCCAATTACTAGATCTCTTAGCCATTGAGTTCAAGCCATCGGCATCTCTCAGCCAACAACTACTAAGACCAAAGGAA